CTTCGTTTCCTCAATGACTGTAATTTGTGTTGTTTATATAAAATGAAGATGACGTGACGGCGTCTGCTTATTCTGGGTGACTCGTTATGAGACACTATGGTGAGCGCGGTCGTTTTCTGCATCGCTGTATTAGGTAAGAAATCACTTATTTAAAATTTATTTCTTACTATTACTACTAATTCGGTTTTAGTAAATAACTCGCTGTCTCATAGTAAAATGTACTTACCTATTAAAACGTCGAGCGAAAATATAGATAATGTAAAGTTGTGTAATAAACAATGCTACCGTGCTAACTTAGAACTAGGAATAGCTATAAAATTTATCTATTGTGTGTGGTTTTAAGAAGATTGGTTATATCAATGAATGTGACAGTATCCTCAGAATATGATATGTTTTTTGTTTTTATTATTTATATGTTGAATAAAACATTTTGTTTTATTTCAGTTTCCTAATAGATTTGTTACATAAATTTAGAAAAGTAAAACAATAAAAATCATTGATTAAATATATAAAAAACATTTACCTGATCAAACGAACTTATCTGAAGTGAAGTTCGATCTGTATTATCTGGTCTTCGTCTTCCGAGAATTATCTTACCTTGTAGTCATCTTGACAACACGAACAATATTCGCACGTATTGTTTAGCGCTGTAAGAAAGAGACTTTCTTATCCCGCCTACCATGCCATAGGTGCTAGCCGAACCAAACCCCATTTTTTTAGAGAAGTTATAAAGGAAGGGAGCTATAAGTCTCGTAAATTGCTTATGCGCTGGAATCTTGTCTAAATAATACCTGCGTGACGTTTCATCCCATTTCAGAGTACCAGGGACAAAGTGGATTTTTTACCATTTTTCATCAAGAATATTTTCAAATACATATAGCATTGTGACTGAAAAATTGATCAAATACAATAATGACAATCGAAACCAACAAAAATGTAACAATAATGATGTGTGTTCTCAACACAACGGAACTCAATAAGTGAATTATAGAAGTAAATAAGTGTGTGTGACCCAACTATAACAAGTGTACTAGTGTTTATTTGATAACGGTACTATTTTTGATACACAATACGTCTTCAAAATGGCAGCCAGGCGCATTAGCAGTTTTCGGGGATATTACAGATTGCGAGGGACCCTAAATCTCTTCGTCGAAGACACGATAATCCAGATGGAACTTCACTTCAGGGAAGTTCATCAGGTAATTATCTTGTCTTCGATTGAAAATCTGTTTCACTAGAAATTCTCATTTGTTTATTTGTGAGCCGTTGTCGTAATTTTTACATAATATGGGCGTTCCTAAACAAAATCCCGTCCGATTTGAGGTGAGTGGTTTTTTTTTATTTTTTTACTTTTATCAACAACCTTCTTTTTTAATTTTTATTCTTAAAACATTTGGAATCTGCATTCGAGTGTACGTTTCTAGCGGCGGGAATGCGGGCGGAAACTAGTGCACGTCTTCGGTAATTTGAAAGCGTCTCTCGCCCTTTTGGCAACACTCCATAGCTCTTCTTACCTTGCCATTCCACTTTCAATTTCCATATCACATGCAATACCAAAAAATAGTTCCTACTTAGAAAAAATAAATATTAATAAGATCCCTGTAATCAGGGAATTATTCACAATATAAGACACAAGTAAGTTATAAGGCAAATTAACTATAAGAGTTTTTTTTTTTTGTTAAAAGCACCTTAGAGTTAAGCGCAGCGCTGTTAATAAGAATAGAGGTTTAATCAAATTAAATCTACTTACTTCGAAAAGCAATAAAGGTTTTATTTCATTGAAATTGAACCTCTATGATGTCATTGTTCTGAGCTTGATGGAATAACACTGCAGAGTGGTAAGTGTAAGTTTTACGCTAACGCTTTCACTAGTGAGCGCGTTAAGAATTTGTATGGAGATTTGTAGTTCTTGGTAGTTACCGCTAGGGGCGCTGTACCGGATTCCATACTAAAATCTTTAAGCGAATACTAAAATCTTTAAAAGAGAAGCGCTTACGATCGACAGTGAACGTAAACGTCAAAAAAACTTACACTAAGCGCTCAGATGATAGTATTTTCTCGTTTGTGATTTTTCATTAGTTGAGTAATTTCGTTTTAAGCTAAAATATTGAACAAAAATGTCGAAACACATACGAAATTAAACACGGGTATTTCCAAAACTACATAGTATTCATTAATTAATAATTAAAAATACTTGTATTACTATCAAAGATTTTTTTCCGCTTTGATATGTTTAGTAAAAATAAGCTATCTGTGGGCTAATAGTCTTACTTCAATATCTGGAATTATGTAACTTTTTAAAATTGATTTTGGAATAAATGATGATTTCAACCATCATGAAACATAATAAAAACTTAGTTAAGCCCGGCGAAAGATCGTAGTTAGCATTCAATTGTTTCGTTTTACATATCTCAATAGCTTTCAACACAGAACATTTTATCGCTTTGCATAGACAATTCCAATGAGGGTTGCACTATATCACAGGGTTTGTCCTTGAGATTTTAGGATTTTTGGACATTTAATAAAATTAAATTTTAAAGATATCTTCAATAAAAAGTTACCCAAACTATAAATAATCTTCCTAACTTTGCGAGATCCGCAGTGTATAAAAATTATATATGTATTATTTAAATTGTACGTTTGATGAAAAAAAAAAATTTAATTCGGTCCCTGATTTTATTTTTTGCATATATTGAAGAAATAGGATCCCACCGAACTTCGAGATACGGTCGTATGGAGAGAAACTGTTTTTCAACGTGTGAGGCCCATAAAATATTGGATTTGAGAAAAAATATAATAAGCAGATTTTAAAACCTTATCTAACAGTCAGCTTGTGTCATCACAAGTTTTTCTCTTATCTCGACTCTAATGTCTGTTTCCACTAAACTTAGAATTCGTCCAAATCTAACGCCTAATTTTTTAGAAATTGTCTTAGGTGGAAATGAGATTAATGTCTAAGTAACGTGACGTCATTACATCAAGCAATGCATTAAGTTATGAAAATCGTTACGTGGCGCTTGGCACTAGGTATTTGCATAATTTTCCAGATCATAGAGTGTGGTTAAGTCATAAAACAATTTCTTTACAGTGTTACCTAGTAAGGCTATTCCTTGACATAGGTTAGTGAAAACGGGCGTATATGTTCAGGAAACAGATATGCAGATTCAGAGGCATGAAAAGAGGTTTACAGCAATTTCCCATGGCGACCTTTGAGTCTTTGATCTGCACAGAGCGCCGCAGCGCAATATACAAGTGTAAACACACTTTTATTTCGAAAGTAAACTTTACCGCTGTGATCTCGCGAATGATTCACCAGACTTACTATATTTACGGCAAATATCTCGCCACGAGAGGTAGGTAAACCAGGCTACAACAAAGGTCTGTTACTTCAAAATTATGAATTGCATTCGGTATTGTTTAGAATACTGGAAAGTTGGAATAAATAAAATTGATGATATTTCATAGATTAACCACACGTTTTAAGTAGATATTATATAATATGAGGTATATTTTTTTTTATATGCGACGTAGGTATGTATGATACGCTTGTCAAATTAAAGCCCTGAATGTTCTGTCAAGCTGAAGGGTTAACTGTCAGTAGATCAATCAGAGTTGATTAGTCAAGTGGTATCAAAATTAAACAATTTGACTTAAAGACGATTTTCATTTCATTTTCATTTTACATATAGAAATTTATTTATTCACTTGTTATTGGCAAAATTGTGCGAAATGCGCAGATAGGCCATTAGTAAAAGAAAAAGAAGAAGACTTATAGCCAAATTATATTTGTCACAATGTTATTTCCAGTTAAAAATGTTTAAGTAGGTTATATATAATAATTTACCCACCTTTATCATCAGCCCGGCTAGCTCAGTCGGTAGAGCATGAGACTCTTAATCTCAGGGTCGTGGGTTCGAGCCCCACGTTGGGCGCATATTTTTAGTTCCTTGTGTAAAAACTATTTTATTTTTTTCTGTTTACCTGTATTTCTATGTCGATTATTTATGACCATAGATAGTAATTTTTTTTTTATATAACAGATTTGTGTACACGTATCGCCATCTATTACTTTTTTGATTAACTAACTAATTGATTTCTTAATAGTGGGAATATAGCAACGTAAGTAATAATCTTGAATATTAATCATAGATGGCGCTTTAGTGGCGCCATCTATCCACTTCATGTTAAACTGGCATTAGCAAATTAGCATTATTTTTTATTCTTTTAAGAGGTTACTTAACAATGTGCATAATATTTTGTAGATGGCAGCACAAACCCACAAAAGTTTACATTTATCACCACTAGATGTCATCATCGACCTTTTCGAGTTGCTCAAATATTTTCAATAAATTTTTAGCGTTTTGAAGATTTCAAAATCAAAATTAATAAATTTCAAACTTAAACATTGGAAGTGGTAGTTCTAAAAATGGAAACATTAATGTTGAGGCCTGAATGCGAAGTAGGAGTGATTTCTGTGGATTCATTAAAGACTGACCGTCACTAACCTAATGACTGACCGTCATTGAACTGACCAGTGAAAATGAATTTTTCTTTGGAATTGTACTTGACTTCCTTTTAGGGCTTCGTAACCCAGAAAACATTAGGAAAGGCTTTCTCACTATTGCCAAGTCTTTTGCCATATTTAGTCATTATGATATCGTGCTAAACTTCCAATACCATGCCAATATACAAGATGGCATATTAAATTTCATAATAAAAAAAAGTTTCTAGATTAAGTAACTCAATATTTTTTGCTCTTTTGATCAACCTCAATATAAAACTAAAATTATCTCTAAACAGATTTTCTACCGGCCTGATTATTTTACAGAATTTATACAGACAAGTTGATAAGTACTGATTGGGCTTCGACTCTTTATTTTATACTATACCGCTCGTTGTAATGTCACCTTTGTAAACATTTATCTGCTAGTATTCTTGTATTTCTTAAAGTGTAATTGCTTCGTTTCCTCAATGACTGTAATTTGTGTTGTTTATATAAAATGAAGATGACGTGACGGCGTCTGCTTATTCTGGGTGACTCGTTATGAGACACTATGGTGAGCGCGGTCGTTTTCTGCATCGCTGTATTAGGTAAGAAATCACTTATTTAAAATTTATTTCTTACTATTACTACTAATTCGGTTTTAGTAAATAACTCGCTGTCTCATAGTAAAATGTACTTACCTATTAAAACGTCGAGCGAAAATATAGATAATGTAAAGTTGTGTAATAAACAATGCTACCGTGCTAACTTAGAACTAGGAATAGCTATAAAATTTATCTATTGTGTGTGGTTTTAAGAAGATTGGTTATATCAATGAATGTGACAGTATCCTCAGAATATGATATGTTTTTTGTTTTTATTATTTATATGTTGAATAAAACATTTTGTTTTATTTCAGTTTCCTAATAGATTTGTTACATAAATTTAGAAAAGTAAAACAATAAAAATCATTGATTAAATATATAAAAAACATTTACCTGATCAAACGAACTTATCTGAAGTGAAGTTCGATCTGTATTATCTGGTCTTCGTCTTCCGAGAATTATCTTACCTTGTAGTCATCTTGACAACACGAACAATATTCGCACGTATTGTTTAGCGCTGTAAGAAAGAGACTTTCTTATCCCGCCTACCATGCCATAGGTGCTAGCCGAACCAAACCCCATTTTTTTAGAGAAGTTATAAAGGAAGGGAGCTATAAGTCTCGTAAATTGCTTATGCGCTGGAATCTTGTCTAAATAATACCTGCGTGACGTTTCATCCCATTTCAGAGTACCAGGGACAAAGTGGATTTTTTACCATTTTTCATCAAGAATATTTTCAAATACATATAGCATTGTGACTGAAAAATTGATCAAATACAATAATGACAATCGAAACCAACAAAAATGTAACAATAATGATGTGTGTTCTCAACACAACGGAACTCAATAAGTGAATTATAGAAGTAAATAAGTGTGTGTGACCCAACTATAACAAGTGTACTAGTGTTTATTTGATAACGGTACTATTTTTGATACACAATACGTCTTCAAAATGGCAGCCAGGCGCATTAGCAGTTTTCGGGGATATTACAGATTGCGAGGGACCCTAAATCTCTTCGTCGAAGACACGATAATCCAGATGGAACTTCACTTCAGGGAAGTTCATCAGGTAATTATCTTGTCTTCGTCTTCCGAGATTTATCATACCATGTAGATGTTCAGAGAATATCTGAAACATAAGGGTGGGAAAACAAAGACAATTCGTTATAATCACATTATACATTGTAAACAAAAAGCTACATTTGAAAGATACCATTATACAGACAGGTTCATAAGTACTTTCAACGATAGGACGGTTATAAAAATTTGTAAAAACTGCGGACTGGTTTGACCAACCTACGTATTTTATTATATAGGTTATTATCAATGTTTTAGCAAAAACGCAAAAACGCGGCCTTGAGTTCTTTTTTTGTGTGTAATTAACAGATGTACTTCTTTAGACAGTCTTCTTTGAGCTAAGATTTGAACAGTTTGCAAAGTTAGTGATGAGTATACGCTTTCCCTTTGTAAAAAGTAGGGAAAATGTAATATTTGTTGTGAACAATTTTAAAAATATAAAATTGTATATTTGATATGTAATGTAATTAGCGAAAGCGTTTAAATCCGTTAACCTGTTGCTAAAGCCAAGATAGTGACTAGACTAGTTAATTGTTTAAAACTATATAATTGCATCATTGGCAAATTATATACTTTATATGTATATATAAAGTAGCTCGGTGGCGTAGTGGATAAGCGCCGCGGCCCGCGATCGTAGTCGTTAAGCAACTTTCGCAAGGGTCGGTCACGATATGGGTGACCAAAAAAATTATTATCTCGAGCTACTGCTCGAGATAATAATTTTTTTGGTCACCCAAGGTCAAGCACGGAGTACCGTGCTTCGGAAGGCACGTTAAGCCGTTTGTCCCGGCTGCATTTGCAGTCGTTAATACCCTCCAATCCGCATTGGGCCAGCGTGGAGGGTCATGGCCCACCCTCCTTAACCATCCATAAGGAAGGCCTGAGCCCCTGCAGTGGGGACGTAAAAGGGCTGGTGGTGGATATGTATATATTAACTCGATAAAATATGTAATACAATATCAGTATTACATCAATAATATTCAACATTAGTATCGGAATGACGCTGTTTTAAGTTTAAATATGCAATTAAAGAAGCGCTTGACTCTTTTATCTTGGCCTATACTATTTATCGATATAAGTGATATGGCCGATCGATAATTATTCAATGTGCCATAGGAGGCTTCAGATTCAAAACGAATTACAAGAAATTAATAAGTCATTAATTTTAACCTCAAAAACATCTACATTATTATTAGCACAATAGTCCCATTACTTCTTTAAGCTGCTGTATTGTATTGTGATTTTGTCTTATATGATATAGATGATGTAGGCACAGTTTTGACAGATTCTGGAACTTTTTCATGAAAACCTCCCGGATAACACCCTCATAGGGAAAGGTGCTGGTGCAGGTTGTATTTTTCTAAAAGAAGATGTTAGGATATTTTGGTTTGCACGAATGATAAATATTTTTTTATACATAAAGGCAACTATGACTGTGATGGCCAATTGATGGCCAAAACTAATACAATCTCTTCTGTCCGAGCAGATATAATTTTATTTAAGGTTTTTAAAATTAAAGATTACCGTTAGGAAAGCTTAAAATTTGTATAATATCCAGTTGACCGTATACGCCTCTAGAGTGAGTGCGTAAGGGTCCTGGGGTGCAACCGCCTAACTCATGGACGTAGCCGTCGTAGCTATAACCTACGCTTTATAGGTTTTACACATTAATCTGTTGATATTGTTTTAAAATTGATATTTTTTTATTATTTACATATTTAATCAATGCTTTTAGTTGTTTTTGTTTGGTGAATTATTAAAGTTAAACGAAATTTACAAAATGTCGAATTTATATGTTTTTCTTTTCGAAAAAGCATTGTTTGTATAAAATAAAAAAAACAATCAATTTTAAAAGAATATAAACAAACTCATAAGAAATATCGATAAAGCGTAGGTTATAGCTACGACTACGGCTACGTCCATGAGTTAGGCGGTCGCGCCCCAGATTTCATAATATGAAGTTGGTGCACTTGGTATTGATGAGTGTTGCAAATAAATCAAAATTTGGTACACCGAAACAATGAACCATTTCAGAAAAGGCTGATGAAGTGAGTTCCCATTCTACCTATGTCTACATTTAAATTTCTAGATTCCTTGTCTTCATCGATATTTTTACATGATGTAATATATGACGCAAATATCTGGGGCACGGAAGTACCCCCGCCAAGTCGAGCTAAAAAGTAAAAAGGGCACGGGTGTACGATCCTTTTCTCGAAGCCATTCGGGCCATTTTTAACCCCCTGTAACTTCGTTATAGAGTAAACTGGAAGCCTAAATTTTTAGTGACCAAGAGCGCATCACATATCGAGGGACATTTCCAAATTACATTAAATTACCACAAATTTAAAAAAAATGCCTGTGCTTTAAGAAATATTGCAATTCAAAATGCCTTAATTTTGTCACTGGCTGACTCATAAATCATCAAACTTCTCAGGTACTTCTAGAAGAGCCACAGGTTCAATATTTTTAAAACAGTGTTATTTTGCATTGAAAGTAAAGGAAAAATCCAACATTATAAAGTATCCAAACCTCTTTTAGATTTTTGGATTACTTAAAATTGTTGAGCATTTTGAAAACATCGGTCAATGTGTTGCTTAGTAATACAAATCAAAGATAATTTTACCACTAGGAGATACAAACCTCATCATTTACCAAAGAGTAGGTAAAAAAAATATCACATCTAAAACATAGCATGTACTAAAATGCACAAGTCTCACAACGAAATTTTTCTGCCAAAAGTTATGAAATCAACGTAAACTAAGTCGATTAATTAAGTTTGTTCAATTTCATGACTTATTTTTCACTATTGAAAATACTCCATTATTGACAAATAAACAAGTTCAACCTTCTCAGAAAAAAATTGTTTTGCTGTAGTGATAGTGACCCATATGAAATCTTGACATTTTTGTGTTGCCAGCGACCCTTGAGTAAGATTCCATGATCCCCCAGGGTCGCGACCCTCAAATAAAAAGCATTGGATATATAAGTACTAAAAATTGTGGATTTTTAAATTACAAAAATAAAGACGTTATTTAGACGTTTTAGTTTTAGTTTTAGTTAGAACAAGAGACTGAATGTTAATTCTTTATCGAACAAAAGGTTTAGATATGAGAGTTCGATACATACCTATTAACTTTAAACTAAAACTGTGTGTTCATTCAATACACTACTTTAAGTAGATATAATATACAATTTATGTTAATATATAAACAATAAAAATTTCAAGTCACGGTCTAGACAAATACCTAATTACCCCAGCTTTATTATTACATCATTCTAGAAACCCACTCACCTAATACAAAGTTTAATAGCATCAATAAAAACTGCGTATAAGAAAGTTTAATTATGTACAGATCGTAAATCAAGTTCATCAGTCTGCATGGATATAAACGAATAATATAACTTTTATAAACGACTCGATTCAAAGCTCAGGGTCGAATTTTCATTGTCATTAACGCGTTGTAGCAGTGTAATCGATATCAGCGAATAAAATGTTATATTTTCAGCTATACTCGATTCCGGACAATGCGTGTCATCGAAAATAGATTTCGAGGAAGAGGAAACATCGATAGTAGCCAATGCGACGAAAGTGGAGGATGAAGACCTGGAAGTCAAACACACTATTGTGGTGTCAACGAAATTGAGGAACAACAATCGGAGAGGGCTGCACAACCGTGGTGATGGTGAGTTTGTGCCGTTTTATTTTGTTTTATCTTTTTCGTTTTATCTTAGTGACCATCATGTACATACGACTGCACGTCAGGCTACATATATAAGGTTAAAAATGAAGTGGGGAAATTTGACTACTTATACCAAATAAAAAAATATGGTACATGGTAACAATCCCGTATTAAAATAAGTATTACTCTAAAGCTAATGACCATGAAAGCTTAAAACGGCGAATGGTATTCCTACTCTGAAAGGTAATACAAGTTTTATTTCATTGAACCTTTATACTGTGACAGCGCTGTGCTGGACATGTGGTTCGAGGATATTAAAATAGTAGCTGAAGTTATTTTAATAATAACTCGTATCTTTCGTTAATAATAAATAGTTCTTAAAGATAGTATAATTTTTCCATTTGTTATATTGTCAAGTTTCTACAAATATGTAACTTATTCTCAGGTGAAGGTGGTACCTTAACCTATCGTGTCGGTAATCGCAATGGGGATGACAGTAGCGAGGTACCGATAGTGAAGGGTTACAAAGCTTTAGATACAACAGAAATAAGAACTCCTGACTCTAGACATAAAGCTCAAATTTATCCTGAATCTGTTTTGGTCAGTCGCAACATCCGGGATGAATACGACTACTATCCTAATGTAGCTCTTAATCCAACGCAATGGAAGCCATCCAACTTTTACAATAATATCAATTGGTGGCAACAAGACAATCGCGAAACTTTTGAGAGAAGAAATTTCAGACCCAATAATCAAGGAAAACTAAACAGAAAAATAACAGATGACGCTATAAAAGACTTCTATTGTAAGAAATGCAGAGAACTGATTATTGGACAGAGAGGGAAAGGTTGCATTCAAGAAAGAAGCAATCCTTGGGTTCATGAATCTACAACGGCGAAGATAAAACTTGACGGCAAATTGGCAAAATTAAACTAATTGGTCTGCTGTATTGTTTTTGTTCATACCGTGACCATAATTCTTAAAACAAAAACTCATCTTTGATGCTATCGCATTAACCTTGACGCTGAGATGCACGGGTCGATTTGTATCTCAAACAGTTTGTTTATAATAACGAATCATTAAGGACATAGTATATAATAATTCTGAGGACTTTGGTCATTCTTAAAAGTTACTGAACGTGTTTTTGAGAGTCAAGTTGACTGCTAGTTATAATTACCTGCTTTTCGCTTTTCTTATTCAATTTCTTTGTGAAATTGAACATGAAAAGTAAACAGGAACAGGAGTTTGTGATTTATTAATGCTGCTAAATTCTAAACTGCTTTGGGAACCTAAAAAAAAGGTTTTCGTCTATGTCGTGTGTCGAATTCAACAATTTTGGGAATCTCTGATCTGAAATTATACTGTTTGAAATGATAAATAAATAGCATATTTAATCATTTCGAACAGTATAAATAATATCATTTTAAGTAGAAAGTAGTAAAGTTTTTAAAAATCATTCATTTTTCTAGACTTTAATCATTACCCTAATAAAAATTGTAACTGCACAAAAGTAAAATAAAATAATAACTGTTAATATATGTTTAAGTAGTATTATGTAACAAATATATCAACAGCGATATCAATTATTTCAGATTATATTTATAATCATATTAAATAAATATTAATTGTGTTCAAAGTTAATTAATTGATTTTCTTTCAATTCACTTAAAGCATATACGATCTTATTCGTTCAACTTGGATGATTAACTCATCATTTGTTACACCACCATATTCCAACTTCACCTTTAAATCTACAGTTTCACTTGGTAGTTCAATTTATTAAAATGTAGGTAGGTAGTATTATTTCAGGTTTCAGGATAACACGTGTGTAATCATAAAATAAATAAAAATAACATATATAAAATTCTTTATTTATTAGCATACATCCATTACTTAAGGTTAAGTAGATTCAAATAATTTTATTTAAAAAAATGGATTTTTGTTATAATAAATACGAAATATGCCAATCAAATTAAGTTTGCGAACAGTGAGATCCTAAATGAAATATCATGGGGTAATATATTGTTTAATTCGCCACTTTATATTTGGTAATCTTGCCGTTGTTGTTGACAACAGTTTCAGCTCCCCTGTGGCTTGTAACTTTGCCGTCTACGTCTGATGAAGTCGCATAAGAGGAAGCAGACACGCCATAATAGCCACCATCGGTATCAGCGAATCTATTCATCACCTTCACGTTGTCTTGGAACTATAAAGAGTTAACAAATTAATGAAATAAAATCACAAAGTAAAATTAAAATTAAGTAAATTGGTGTTTGAAAAAAGGCCAATTACAGCCAGTGGGAGTTTAGTGGCGAACTCGACAAGATTGCGATCGCAAACTCTGTCGAGACTGCAGCACTACTACATGATAATTAGATTGGTGAATCCACATGATCATTAGTTATAATCCTAGTACTAAAACCAAAAGCCCAGAAGTTAACATTCGCCACTATACTGTCTACCTAAAGCCCAATACTATTACTGCTATATGTTTGGAGGACTGGATCGTACCTTTAGCAGTCAATGGTGAGAGATGTTTGTTATTGTGTAATATTATAACAAAATCTATGCCTAACATTAGCGGAATTAAGGCCCAGATGAATGACCAAAGAAGGCTTTTTAGGCTTTGTATGCTTATAATGTTTGCATTCGTCAACACTTGCTAATCTTGACCTAGGCCTGCCCCCTTACTCTCAAACGCAATCTCGACGCGACCGTGCATTATGGCGATAGTCTCTTGACTAGCACTCTTGTGCGAAACGGCACAATTGCAATGTTGATCGGTCGTCATTGCTTTCGTTAGTAAAGGGGAAGATTGTAGGTTACGGCACTTAAGGAAAATTCTTATGTGATTCAATCTATGTTGAAAATCTGTGTTCCAACGGTGGGAATATTAATGGCCTCATAAAAATGATGTTGGCTTAGAAGTATTGAAGTACGGTACAGTTGGTAAAGTAAATTGCTCATAAATACCTTTGTTTGATTAAAAGATATTAAAGGTTATTCAAATTAACTATGGGAAGACCTATCTGTATTTATGTATTTTATATATGTAATTAAATCAGCCTCGAACTTGACGTCACTGCGTTGTCACAATTTCGAGATTCAATGAAATAAAACATCTTTTACATTTTTTTATACTTTTATTGCCTTTTAAATTAGGATTTATTTATGTGAAGTTCTGTGCGGTGACAGCGCAGTGCTCGACGTCGAGTTTGTTGCTGTTTTTTTTTTTACAGAATAGCACTGCAGGTAGTTGGTATATATCAGCTATTTACAAATCTATAAAAAGTTTCCAACATTTTATATATCAAGGTACTTTAAGTGGATCACATAAACGTATACCCTGGAAGTAGCAATTTTAAGTTCTATGAGTTTTTATAACGTTAAATAAGTACAAATGATAGATTAAATTAGAATGATGAACAGATAATTTAAAATTATCTACCTTGTTAGGATCAATGGCAGCAATCTGCTGAGTGAAGCCTGGACCAGCCATGGCGCTAGCAAATGCTTGATTCATACCGGCAAAACCTGGGAAAGCACCAAATCCTCCGAAGTCGTCGTACCTGGTGGGGAAATTAGGAATATAACCGGCTTGGTTAGACGTTAAATCATAAGCCTTCTTCGCCGCGGTAAACGCTAGCCTTTGGTTTTGAAGGTTTGTTTTGAATGTCCTGCAATCACACAGAAGGGATAACTCACACGCCAATAGTCAAAAGATGTGAGTGAGATAGCACTTTGGAAGCAGTGGAGTTAAGTGAAAATAGAAATTGAAAAGGTTAGTGGAAAGGTATCTTGTTCACAAGCAGTGATACTGTAAAGTTACCTTTCAAATCCTATTGGTTTAAAAATTAGGAAATGTTTCCAGCACCTTAAGGTTTTGCTGAATTTTTACAAAGGATGTAATAGGAGAAGTGATTCAAAGGGAATGAAGTGAATGGATCTTAAAATTGACGGAGTGGTTCGCTGATGGTTTGACGTTGTCAGTAGATCCAATGCATGTTCTTTTCTAAACAAGGCTCTCCGAGTTGACTCGCTATAAGACATATGATAATATTATATATGTGTATATAATGTAATTTATATTTTATAAAGAAGAAAGTGAGATAGTGATCCTTATAATATTACGAATAATATTATAAAGTTAAAAATAAACAGGGAACGATATAGTACAGTAGATCTTGAGAAGTCAAGTAAAACAGTTGAGAGACCTCCACCGAAAGCTCTTGCACCTACTAATAACATAAACCTTACTCTCTCAAAAGGTTTTCTAGGTTGCTAAAATACTCTGGAAAGAAATTGTCGATGTTGTTGAATGTTTGCATGAATGGTGGACCGAATCCAGCAAAGTTTTGATTAAACCGACCGTCGTCCAGGTTGTAAGTACCACCGTACCTATTTCCGTCTGTATCTTGGTATGCAAAAGCACCTACTCCGTCTGGCTCACCTGAAAAAAAGATAAGAAATCATCAGACACAGTAAAACAATACAATCACAGAGGGTAGGTCACGATCCTCGATAACGAGGAATATTACGCATGGATGAGGTGATAAATATGGCGAACTCCTTAGCCAAACGGTCGCAGTGGTCAAGATATTGCTATCTCTTTGGTCCCAGGTTCGAATCCTGCTCCAGTCAATATACAAAATGACCCTGTCTATATTATCAGGTTTTGTGTTTCCTTCACTATTTCAGATTTCCATAATTACAAGTGCTTTAGGTACTTAATTTAGGACCCGAGTAACGTATCTGATGATTAACACGAAGGTATTCCAACCAGCATATACAAACTGATTCAAAAAGATAAACCTTCTTCTTTATTGTAAAATACGAGACCATATAAATAGGACCATACTGGGTTAAGCCGCTGGCGAAAATCTTTTCGCAAGCGGCTTAACTATCTAGTTATTATGAAGATTCTTGCAGTCATTTCTTTTAACACCTAAAATAATAGTTCGTAAGATATTTGTAATCAATTCGAAGTTAGAAGAAAAATATTCAATAGGGTTGAAGTGATATAACGCTAGTGTGCAGCACATAACTGTCTTGTGGGTTTATCAAAATATCTTGAACAGAAAACTTAATTCAAACTCCCAAAACTTTTTATGGCGTAACAGATGGAGGTCAAGATTAATAATTTTTGATTTTAGTTTTTATAAGGACAAATTGAATCAATAATGTTTGCTTAGTTGACGATCTAATGAGTAGACACTTTTTATAGCATTTGTCAGAGAGATAAAAATAAGTAATAAAACATGAATCTAATTTACAGTATCGGGTTATTGCATGTCTACTGCGTGGGTTATACAAACATGAATGTTGCTGGGACAAATTTTATGCTTTAATTCGTCGAAATTTAAGATCAAAATCCTTTAATACGTCGATGTTATATTCCAAATTAAAAAAAAGGTATACTTAACAGTATTTTTTTAATTATATGACATTTCGTTTTACTGTAATAGTTTGATTTGTTGTTTATTTTATATGTTTACACGTATAACTATAAAGGCGCTTTATCTTTTTATTGATTTCACAAAATGCAGTATTACTTTAAAAAGATAGAGATCTGGCTACCAGGTAATTTTAAAGGAAACCACGAAAACACACCGTCACCGCCGTATATTAGTATTCTCACACTGAAGTTTTACATTTGTTTCGTAAGTCTAAAAGTATGAATGACATTTATTTAAAAACTGAGAATTTAGAAAATAAACATGCCAAAAAGGTTTGCGTAGTGGGTCACCAACAAAAAAAAGTAAATTCATATAATTTTTTAAATTATAATAATGCACTCTGAATCCACGCGAAGAACGTAAGTATCGTAAGTATCTGAATATACGTAAGTATTAGCTAATAAGACAGGAAGAACGAAATCGATTTTCCAGGGGTCGACAAAAGATAAATGAATTGAAGGTTGAGGTTGACAAAAAAAAATATTCCCACTAATAACATAAGATCCTATTGGATTCTTTCAACATACCTACTAAGTAAGCCATATTTCTGTCTTTTATCTATTTATTTTGTTAAATTTTAGAAAAAGCCTTCTAAACTACCTATAGTTTTAAATTGGCAAATATTTTGTATCATTAGGTAAACAGTTATATATTGGATTTTTAATCAAAGAAGATTAAGAAATATCAGTTCATTTTGGAAAAGAAATCTTTCCATAAATTAGTTTGGGAATACCTGTTATAAAATATTTAAACTGAAATTATTTGACAATTCAATGTCTTAATTGAACATTGGCTAAAATCATCAGGTTCGTATTGGCCATGAGATCATTATGCTTTATTGTTGGAAAATCCCAAACGCATCGTGTTTTATAATTGCTTGAGATATTATGGGCTAGGTAATAATTTGTAAATAAACCCAATTGCTTTCGATCTCTGTTCTATTATAGGATAGGATTATTCTTTATGACATTTGGAATAATTACATCTAAGTGTTTTATTTTTTAATATGTGTTATAAATATAATTGTACTCGAATATTTTCTACTAAAGGGGATGGTGCATGCACGTTATTCCAAAGTCTTCGTAAACTGATAATGAAATCAAATATAAGATCAATTGTGTTACCAAACCCGTACTTTTAAAATCGAAATTCAGTATGTCATGGACTTACTACTTCGTCGTCTGTCCTGCGTTAACTTACTTATTTCTAACGGCATAGAGTAGGATAAGGTACAATAAAGTTGACTTGTTAATGTTTCGGAAATTGGTTTTCAGAGCACAACCTAAAAATTTTATCTGAAAATAATATTAGATATCGAGACATAGACTGGAGATAACATGGGTCAAAAAGAAATATTGACTTCAACTCGATGGGTGCGATTTGCTCACAAATTTGAATTCAACTATTGTTTTTTTTTTTAATATTGATACTTTAGTATACCATACATTTAGTGTATCTAATAATTTTTACTCGTCAGTTTCGATTAAAAGTGAAAATCAATTCATTATATTACTTTAAAACTCTTTGTATCCATATAATAAATAATCAAAAGTCATTGAACTAGCTCGATGTTATGGTATCGACACCATAGTTTAGGACTCTCTAAAACCTGATGTAAATTATGTTTTGTTTCCTTTATTGTACTAGTACACTAGTCAGACCTGCAATTTATGTTCAGTGTCTATTATTGTATGTATGATTCATATACCTATTATGATTGTTAACACATCATTAATTAAAAAAGTCACCATAAGAATTACAATGTAGTAACTAATACCTAAACATAAAAGCCTTGAGTACAATGTCTTTTTTGATTCTTAATGTAATTACTAAATTTTCTTTATAATGTTATTGAGTTTTGGTAACAACATAATTTTGAAATCTGGGATCATTTTGAGAATGTTAATAAATTTTATGATCGTTGAATTATGTGAAGTATAGATAGATATATAAGATAAACAAAAATACGCATTACAATAATAACTATAACCATGGGTAATAACTATAATATGTATGAAGAATAAAGCAACATTTTCGTTCCCAAGTTTTTGGAGATAATTTTAGTATGAACAAAGTCGAGGTCTAGAGTGAAGTTTCAAAAAGAGACTGAAATTTAGCTATTAAATTTATGTACACGGGCAAAAGAAACTTTTAATAAAAATTACAATTATATATATCAATTATGTGAAAACGAAACTATACCGCGATTCACAATTAGCTCTATCTATTATTCCTAATTGGAACTAAATATATTATTTAACTATATAACATGTACTATTTACTTTAAATTATGTTATAATGTATAATTATATTTATTGCTTATTTAAAATACATTTACTATATATATATATTTTATTTTATTTTAGAGTATGAACAACAATATAAACGTCAAGTTTATCCTTAAACGCTGTTTTTCTATGTAAATATTTATGTAGCATAGTCTTAATACGTTTAGACGCTGTCCAATGTAAATTTCGAATACTATAATTTGTTCCAAAAGGATAGTGCAATATTTGCAAAGCGAGTGACGAGTATCAGATCATCACCATGAAGTTCAGGTTTATAATTTAAAAAATATCTCAATTTGAAAAAAATCATGGTTCTTTACGCTTCAGCTCTTAAAAAAGATGGGAACCATCGATTTTATTTTGACAGAAATGGAGACAGAAAATATTGGAATGTCAACGAATCAAATATACCTACACCCTACATAAATGGTAAGTACCTATATTTTATAAAAAAGTACGTATATAAGTACAAAAAAACAACAAATCGGTATGTACCCAGAAAGTGCATCTCGGATGCATTTTCTGGGTATAATCGCTTTGAAACGAAAATAACAACCTATCTATATGTTGATAATAGTAAGTTTTAACTGATATAAAGATACCTGCTAGATCTCTATACATATAAAATATATTGAAACAACTAGGGTTTAATATATGCTATTTTTAGAATATGACAATACAGGCAGGTAAAGATGTTTCATAAAGAAAAAACGAAATAATATCTATAATATTATTTATTATTCATTATGAAGGTTAAAATAAAAAGAGTATAGATAAAGATCAAAGTAATCATAACAATAGTACTAAGTGATTCTAAAAATAACTATGACTGAATAGCATCTGGATCCTGTATTTATTACAGTGTGTTACCTTCGTCTTTACTTCTTGCAATATTATGCAAAATTTAAGAAACATATTCGCACCTGACCGAGTAGAAATTTCTAGATTCATGTCCATAGTTCAGTGTAATTTCGTGATAAATATTAACTATCTCTACCATACATATATATATAAAGGCACGCTTCTTAAACTATGATTAGTTTTCAATGTTTTGTAATAAGTGCTTATTTAGTGATAGAAAATAAATGTCATTAGGAAGACACCGGCTTCTAAAATACAGGTAAAACTAGCCTAGAACTCGGGACCTCAAATATTTATGTAAGATGTACATAATAAAGAAACAATTGTAATTAAATAATTAAATATTAACTATAACTCACGCTGCGATCCTTTTGACAGCCCAAAGTGTACTGAAATACATGCACTAACCATAAATATTACACAAGTGTGATCGGCCGTGACTAACGAACAATGAAATAGCAAAAAATATTACTCAACACCTAGATACTATCTTAGACCAAGATACAATTTAGTTTGGGAACGAATTTTATCTAGTTTTAACGGGATTTGATGGCTACGACCTCTTAATAATACAGACACTGGAAAAACTTAAAAACTAAATGCTACATCTGATGTTAATTAAGGACCATCAACGAATTACTAACTACATGTTAAACTTTGCAGAAATTGCTTCTTTTCTTTTTGCAAAAAAATAACTTAATGTATATGTAATATGAGAATATAATTTAAGCAAATCAGGTTTTTGCTTTTTTTTGTTTTTTTATCAAGATAGTAATTATGGACTTCAAAACTAAACGGTCGACGGCGGCTAGACTCATTAATCCGAGTTTATTAAAATAATGAAA